TTATCATGCTTTACTCTATCAAATGCCTTTTTGTAGTCAGTCGATAAAACAAGTATACATACCTCAATTAACATCCCTGCATCTTTGCATAAGCACTTGGACAGCGAATAGAGCCTCTCGGGTGCCTAAGGAATCGCGGAATCCAAACTAAATCCATGATACTTGTTCTTCGCATTTTTTTATATATTCTGCCATGTATCACTTTCAAGAACGTTTTAAGTAAGTGGCTCATTAGGCTGATTGTTCTGTAATTTTGAAATTATGTCAAAACATGTCTTAATAATTTGTAAATATAGGATACTATATACAACATACAATGAATTAGACAAAGAAATATTACAACAAATAGAAAGAAGGAAGATCTTAAAAATAAATCTAACAAAAGGGGAACCGACGAATATAGAGAACTTAATAGGCAGATTAGAAAGGGAATTAGACAACAAAAAAGAAAAGAAAACGAAAAATTAATAACAACAACTACTGAAAAAAATAAGAGTATGAAATGCCTCAGACCGACACTAGAAACGACGTCAGATGATGAAGTAGAGAAAACATACTGACATGAATAGAATAATTTTACACAGAACTTTACAGATCACATCAGCAAGATGATGAGATGAGACCAGCACGGAAATTAATAAAAAATGTTGGATCAGAAATAATGCCAAAAGTAACAATTTCAGAGGTAACTACAGCATTGGAAAACATGAAGAGAAATAAAGCTGCAGGAGAAGATAGTATTACCACAGATATGATATTAGAAGGAGGTAAGGAACTAATTGCAATTGTAACTAAGCTTGTGGACAGTTGTTTACATCAGGGCAAAGTCCCTAAGAGCTGGAACAACTCTAAAGTAATCTTATTACACAAGAAAGGTGATAGTCGAAAATTGGAAAACTACAGACCCATCAGCCTACTGTCACACCTGTTTAAAATCCTCACCAAAGTCATAACTACTCGACTAACAACGAAATTAGACGAATACCAACCATATGAACAGGCAGGTTTTAGAAAAGGCTATTCAACTTCCGATCACCTGTTAACCACAAAAATATTGATAGAAAATGTAACAAATACAAGTTTCCAGTTTTTCTAGCATTTGTAGACTACGAAAAAGCTTTCGATACCATAGAACACACGGCCGTAATAAACGCAATGCAAAATTGTAGAATAGACAGCAGATATATTACCTTAATAAAAGAAACTATGAACCAAGCTACAGCTACATACTACCTAAATGAAAATGAACACACGAACCCTGTACCGTTAAACAGGGGAGTCAAACAGGGAGATACTTTATTACCCAAACTGTTCACCTTAGTTTTGGAGGACGTTTTTAAAAACCTAAATTGGAAATATAAGGGAATAAACATCAATGGCCGCTACCTCAGTAATCTACGATTTGCAGATGACATAATCCTGTTAGCTACTGACCTACAAGAAA